TTGGAGTTTGACCCCCATGGTATACAGCAGTGGTGCTCAGTCCTGTTCCTGGATATCTACCTTCCTGCAGATTTCAGTTGCTACCAATATCAAACACACCTGCCTGTAATTATCACCTGGTGTTCAGGTCCTAATTAATTGGTTTAGGTGTGTTTGATATGGGTAGCAACTAAAATCTGCAGGAAGGTAGATATCCAGGAACAGGATTGAGCACCCCTGCTATATACCATGGGGGTCAAACTCCAAGTTCCTGGAGAACTGCAGCGCAGCAGAGTTTAGTTCCCACCCTGCTTCAACATTACCTGTAGATTTCTAACAAGCCTTAATTAGTTTGATCAGGTGTGTTTAATTAGAGTTACAGCTTAAAGTCCCGGTCACACTGCACTTTTCTCCCTATAGACTTCCATTCATAGGCATGTGAGTACTGCAGACCTGGAATGATAGCTCATGCGACAAATTTCATAATTCGCAGCATTGGAAAGTTTAAGCTTGGAGATCTCTGACCTGCGAAATCACATCATGTGATTGCTTGATACCAATCAAAGATCAAAACATGACCTCTCTGGCTTGCTTTTTCAATCTCTGATTATTTTGTTTAATTCCTCTACTCGCTTTGTTTAATTCCACTCCTTTTCGCAGTGCAGTATGACAGAATTTTGCTTGCTCAAATGTTAGTGTGACCACAGCCTTACTGTGCAGACCTGTAATATGCAAGACAATATTTATATCTGCTGATTTCTTAATTTTGTTATACTTTTTGTTATTTATTTGTTTGGTGCCAAAACAATAAAATAAATTTTAGTAACACTACAATAACTATATATGACATACTATTAATGTGTATGCAGTATAATGCTGTGATTTATAATACTACAATACAGTAATTAACTGTACACAGTTTCCAGTTAGTTACCACTGCTGCTCTATTACAGTAATTAACTGGCAACACTGTTGCCAGCTACTCACTGTATCGGTTCAGTTACAGTAAATAACTGGCAACACTGTTGCCAGCCACTCACTGTAATGGTTCAGTTACAGTAATTAACTGGCAAAACTGTTGCCAGTTACTTACTGTAACCGAACTTTTACAGTGAGTGGCTGGCAAGTGTTGCCAGTATTCTACTTTAAAAAAAACCCGGTAAGGTCTAACAGTGTAGTTTATCCTGTTGCGCATCACTGACAGGTCCTCAACTGTCTGTTCTCTCAAAACCTCTTTATGAACTCGACACCATCGACATACAGTTTTCCCTGAGAAACTTTCTGTGTAGCCTAGGATGGAATTAAGACCTAGGTTATCCCCACAAACCTGTGCAACGCTTGCTTTAATAGTACCCTTGAAATGTTTTGTGTCAACCTGAACTCCTTCCAATTCCAGATCCTTAATCTCAGACACAATTGGATCTAAGACAGCATTTATTCCATAAATTTTTATGTCATCTGTCTTGTACACTGCCAACAAGAAGTGAGAGTTTAGGCTGGAGAGAAACTCAGGTCGTAAGCATTTAAGAGTAAAATAAACAAAGCCTAGCTGAGGTTTTTGATCCAAGTGGGTTTACCATCTCACATTCATCGTTGTACAGTACAAGAGGAATGGATAACTCTTTGGAAAACAGTTCACTGGCTTTGAAGATTGTGCCGTCTCTAAAATCTTCAAGAGCAGTGCTCTCTTGATTTTGCCATTCAAAGATCTTGTCCATTGTCCCTGGACTTTCTAAAACCAGCTTTAGCAAAGGCCTTAAAGGAATTAGCTGAAACGTATCTTGGTCTGCCACTTGTTTCACAATCCCCGTCAATGTGTCTCTCTTTTGGGTGTATTAGACACCAGGGAAAGGCACTTCTTTTGGATGAACAAAGCATCCAGACTGTGTAAAGTACTGCATTTGCTTGTACTCTGACTCAAAGCCCTGAAATGGTTGAGCTGCCAATGCAAAATTTTCTAAAAAACTCTGGCTCTCAGGACTGTCAAGGTGGCCTATGTCTCTTAAAAAGAGGCTGTTTTTCTTTGTAGGGATCCAACAACATCACTGACAAGGCTACACTCTTAAAAAAAAAGGTTCCTTGAGGTTCTATATAGAACCTTGGGGTTCTATACTTGGCCAGTAGAACCTTTTACCCAAAAAATGGTTCCATTTAGAACCCTTTGACTGCAAAGAACCTTTTTGATTAAAACGGTTCTATAATTTTTGAATCATAACATAATTATTTAGTAAAGATTATGAAATAATTATAAGTTATAACACAGAGAGACAAAGCTTTTTGAGTCAAAACCTAATAAAATGAATGCTGTCGTCAAAAACTTAATCAGTGTACAGTATGATGGGATTTTTTTATGCAGGTTTGTACAATAGCATATAACTTATAGGCCTAGTTTATGTTTAACATTTTTGACAAATTATTTTGTGAAATAAATAAAATAACCAATTTATTTAGACTGTGCAGTAACATGTTGTTATGGTTTAATAATTTATTTAAAACTAATAATCATAAAAAAGCCCTCTGGTGACGTCAGTCATTGACAAGGACATCGTCATGGACAGGTGGTGAAGAGCCTCGAGAGAAGGTTAATTTTTCGAAAGGAGAAGTCCACTATTTCAGCTTCATCATTCAGGTATGTTAGTACATTTAATATATATA